CGGCGAGAGCAGCCACAGAGCCAAATTTTGGGTTGGATCAGCATCTTCTCCGACGTTTCACTGCCACCCTTCTTGGTTTCCGGCATGATCAAGTGAATGATGAGGGGAAAGGGAAGTATTATTATTAATATTATTACTGTTATTATTATTCATTATTTTTAACATTTCAAATAAAACCACGTTGTGTTGTAAACAGAAGCTCACTCCTCAGGTCTGCCCAGCCAGTCCCAGCTAAGGTTTATGTTTGAAATGGGCTTCCACTGAAAGAAAAAAAAAAAAAAACAACCCAGAGAAAATGAGTTAAAGCAGGACAAGCACTGGCAGGCAGCGACAGCCCGGCGCAAGCCCACCCCGCAGATGGTCCTTGTCTTGCTAATGCCCCTTCGCCCCATTATCCTTATAACTGGGTGACCGACCACCCCTGAAGCACCATGGACAGGATGGGAAGATGATAAAGAGGGAAGGATACCATCCTCCTCCTCTTCCTCCCAGGGTGAGTCCCTCTCTGCTTGGACAGACTTTGCATCCTCCCCGCACACAAGGGAGCGATGCCGCCGCATCCCCGATGCCCCCCCCGTCCGTCCCGTCCTCAAACGCACGGGAAATAAAGGGGCGAAGGCTGACCGCCAGCCCTCACCAGCAAACACACCTGCGTATTCCTGAGGCAGCATCGGCCGGCTTATAACTTTCTGAAAAGTCGTAATCCACTCCAGCTGATCATCCTCCGTCTCGCAGGCAAAGAGGAATTTCCGATCCGGGGTGACGATGGTTATCCCGTGCTGCCAGTGGTTTCCCTGTGTGGATGGCGGGAGCCCTTCCAGGACCTTGTAGCTGTTCTCCTTGCTCCCAATAAAGACTTCCCCTCTGGCAAAGGCATCCTAGGAGACAGCGGCGCGGTCAGGCAGGCACGACGGCGAAGGGGAGAGCAGCACCCGGGCAGCCAGGATGCCCCGGCCAGAAACTCCAGCAGCAGAGCGCAGCAGCCAGACGCGGAAAGCACCAGCCGCCCCACCAAGCCCCACTCCAGCTCCTCCCAGGGACACTCGTGATACGGGACCTTCCCAGCCCCAACACCAGGTATCCAAAAATCCAGCTGCAGAAATATCTGCAGCTGGTGCACAGCAGTTCCAAAGCACTTTTGGTGAATATCTGTGCACGGGGCTACTACATGCTGGACACCAGGGAGATCCACCCCGCAGTGACAGCTCAGTGCCCTCCTGGCTCTCCCACCAGCCTCGGCTGCGCTTATTATTTATTATTCTTACTACTACAGATTATTCCCAGCAGATAGCCCAGGCACCCTCGTCTTACCAGGGGATCTTTGAAATACATGAGCCGTCGGTCATCCATGGTGAACCATCGCTTCTTGAATCCCTCTGTTTGCTGAAGAGTCAAGAAATGCCGGATTACACACCAAAGCAGCGCAGCCCCCTCTTACCAGGCACGACCCAGGAGTATCGGGGACTCGGAGGAGCCCTGTGTGCTGGGGACAAGTGGCTCCTGGGCCACCACAAGCCACCGCAGCCAGGGTCTGGGCCAGCTATTGGTGGTCTTGCGGTAATGGGCAGTGGGAGCTGGGGTGGTTGGGCTGTGAAAAGTGGTTTGGGATGTTTTTTTTTTAACGTTCGTTCCCAGGTGGGGAACGTCTATTAACGCATTCACGGCGTGAAGGTGTTGCCTCTCCAGCAAGGGTGGGTTCGTGCCACCAGCAGACCCTTCTCAGCCCCATACAGAGCAAAGCTCCTCAAGTTTGGAGGAGCTGCAGAACCATTCGAGATCCTACCTTTGGCCCCGTTTTCTCCATGTACCCTTCCTTCAGGTAGTTTCTAGAAAGCTTTGGCACCAGCTAGAGCAACCGGAGGAGAAAGAGAGAGAGAGAGAATGTCAGATGGAGGGAGCTGGGGGGTCATCAGGCATGTGGGGCAGGGCTGGGGGAGGTCACTGAAGGAAAGCCCGTGCCGAGC